AGAATTGATCACTTTATAGTGGAATACTCTATAAACTGTCTGCATTGGAAACATGTGGTGACTTTTAAAACATCTGAGTTCTATAATTCTAAAGTGTATAGTTTTTTTTTTTTTGAAGGCAGACAACACTTTTTTCTCCTCTATGTAAGTATAAGAATACAGGTTAATTTTTTCTTTGCTGTCTCAGTTTGCATTTTTAACTTATTTTTTAATAAAAATCATTTCAGAGTAGATATATATAACAAATATATTCACCCCAACTAAATATTTTATCACTAAGAACTGAAGTGTGATCATAAAGAGATTCAGTCTGTAAATCTCACTACTCTTATCTACCTGTCTATCTAAAACTAAAATCACGTGTTGACATAATCCTAAATAAGAATAAGAAATTATTTAAGAGCATATAATGGTATAGAAAAGTAAGACTTTAATTTTTAAAGATGATTTTAATTTTTAAGTTATGGAAGCTTATCTGTGTGGCATTACACCAATTGTAGTAATCACAGGAGCTGAAATGTGCCAGTGATTTTGCAATGTAATGTCTCCATAATCTCATTTACCTTTTTAACTGAAGTTATACATTCCTCCCATGTGTAAGACGACTGAACTGTTAACCACGATGAAAAAAATGCTGAGTATAAATTATACAGTTTCAAATTAACTAATTCACTTTATTTTCAGGGTTGCCTAGAAAGTTATATTATGTGTATATAAGTGAGGCTGTGATAGCCTTCGGAGCACTGGTGGCACAGTGGTTAAGAGCAACAGCTGCTAACTGAAAGGTTGGCAGTTCAAATCCACCAGCTGCTCCTTGGAAACCCTATGGGGAAGTTCTACTCTGTCCTATAGTGTCCCTATGAGCCAGAAACGACTTGACGACAGTGGGTTTGGTTTGGTTTATTGGTTATAATAGCCTTCTATGGGAAAGAGAGCAGTGTTTACTGAGCAGTGACAATGCCAGTTCAATTTATTAGCTGATTCAACTTTTTCTTTTAAAGGGATTTTTCATATTCTGAAGAAAACATGTAAAATGAGAATCTTTTCTTAAATACTGAAAACAGATTAGTGTTCTGTTCTTAGGCTGTGGGGTATCTCTATAACTGTAGAATTTTGTTCATGTTTTCTGTTTTCCTTTCCTCTCCACCCATTCCTCCTGAAAAATTAATAGCATTTTTAAAAATCACATTTTGAGGTAAAAAAGAGGAAATACCCCTGACTCTCAAAAGAGTTACTCCCTTAATTTTTAAGTATACCATGTGAACGCCAGCCCTTTACCTCTTGAACCCTCCCTAGTGCCTGACCCTTTTGAGCAACACCAGGAGTCATGCTGGTTGAGAGGATCTGGAGGAATCATGCTGCTTAATGAAAAGTAGAAAAATTGAAGGTGGCCCCCGTCGCAAGAGTGTAGCGTCTTCAATAGGGTTTCTGGAAATGCTTGGCTTTGATGGCTTCATTACAGTAATAACAAGATCCTGTGGCGTAGCCCATGGGCAAATCATTTCACATCTGGGCCTCTCTCTCCCATGAGGTAAATGGGAAAAGTTGAACTAGATGTTTTGTAAGGCTCGTTCCAGTTCTAAATGGTTATGATGTTAACATGTCAACAACCACCTTTGTTTATGGAGGGCTTCCTGCGTGCTGGGCACTTTTCTCTGATTTCATCTTTGTAACAACCCTGTCTCAAGACAGCTGTCATAACTTGTTTTAAAGACAAGATGAGATTTGCCAGTACCAGTTGCCATTGAGTCGATTTTGACTCATGGTGACCCCATGTGTGTCAGAGTAGAACTGTGCTCCATAGAGTTTCCAATGGCTGATTTTTTGAAAGCAGATCGCTAGGCTTTTCTTCCAAGGTGCCTCTGGGTGGGCTACAACTTCCAACCTTAAGTTAGTAGCTGAGCTTGCTAACTGTTTGTACCACCCAGAGAGTCCAGTAAGATTTAGAGTGGTTAAATAATTAGTTATAATTGTCCTACAGCTAGTGAGGGGTGAAGTTGGGATTCAAGTTAGGCTTTTGATTCCAAAGCCAGGCTCTTTACTATTGTACCAACCAGCTATATTCTGCTGACATATATATTTTTATTCCAAGAAAGGTCATTGTGCTATAGCCATTTTATGTATGCAAATGTAATATAAATTAGTACATAACTCATGGTCCCAAAAGCAGGAGGAAGTGTTCTACTTTTTCAATAAAGATTAATTTCATAGTGCTTGTCAGGTGATGTGATTTCCTGTTGAGAAAAAGAAAGCTTAATTGGAATTAACATTACGTGTCCTTTGTAGAACTAAAGGCTCAGTGTACAAGCCCATACTTTGGTTCATTTTATTAACTAAAAAACACACGCATTTTTTTAGAAAACTTGCCTAATTACAGCAAACCAAAACCAGCCATTTTTAGCCAGGAATAATCTTGCCTGTGAGGAGAGTATTTATTATACAGATGGAAGTAAAGACTAAAATAGCTGTTAATGTCTTTAACATACAATTTTTGTTTCATTAGTTTTAATAGAGATGAAGAGAAATCACATTCAGCCTAACTCTCCCCACTGCAGGAGAGTGTAGACTGTTGTATGTCTACAGAGAATGCCACCCGAGGTTTTTATGTAGAGGAAAGTGAGAAGACCGTCCCTGCACTGTGCACCATCCTCCACCTGCTGTATGGAGATTCTCAAAAAAAAAAAAAAAGAAAAAGAAAAAAATCAAAAAATCAGTTAAAACCAGTTGCCATTGATTTGACTCTAACTCATGGTGACTTCATGTGTGTCAGAATGGAACTGTGCTCCACAGGGTTTTCAGTGGCTGATTTTCTGGAAGTAGATCTCTAAGTCTTTCTTCCAAATTACCTCTGAGTGGGCTTAAACCTCCACCCTTTAGGTTAGCAGCCTAGTGCATTAACTGTTGGCACCATCCAGAGACTCCAGAGCTTCTCTTGTTGTGATTTTGACTCATAGTGACCCTATGTGACAGAGTAGAACTGCCCTGTAGGGTTTCCTAAGCTGTAATCTTTACGGACACAGATTGCCAGGTCTTTCTCCTACAGAGTTGCTGGTAGGTTCGAACCTTTGACTTTTTGGTTCCAGACAAGTTCTTAACTATTGTGCCACCAGGGCTCCTCAGAGCTTCTCTTAAAACAAAAAACCAAACCTGTTGCCACTGAGTTGATTCTGACTCATAGTGACATTAGCACCCCCCAAAATGGGAGTAGTCCAGCTGTGGGTGTAGCTATAGATAATTTCTTACTTTCTGCAATTCATTTTTCCCTATCACTACAGCATCAGCCATCCAAAGTCTTCCCATCCTTTTTGCCATTGCCTGATGCTTTGGTTTTTCTTTCTGCATTCCCCTGCTCAATTCATTTAGCAAAACTTCTGTCCAATGAGATCATATTTTGCTGGAAAGCTACTCAGTGCTCTTTGATCATTGGAAAGAGCACCTGTTAGGAAGTACAGGCCCTCCTGCTCTGTTGAGTGTTTTAAGCCCTTGGTTACTTAAAGGACAAAAACAGAGAGACCTGACTAACATTGGACTCATGATTGTGTCAAATTCTTCCTCCTCCTCCCTCCTTCCCTCTCCCGACTTACTCCACAAGCAGTGGGAGATGATGGGCACTACCCAGCTGACATCTGTGAACTCAGCGTACTAGATTACGCTCTCACCTGTATGCATGTAAAACGGATGTCTGTATTCTAGGGATGTATAAAGTTTGCTGTCTGTCCTCTGGATCTGAATGATAGAAATAGAAGAAAGTCAAATACCCTTATCCGTTCTGCTGTTGTAATTCTCTCTATATGTGTATTTGTTTTCTTGTTTATGTATGATGCCAGATAGGCAACAGCCAGGTGAATATTTTTAAAAAGTAATTTTGGTGTATATTTTTAAAGGTACTGTCTTGGAAGGCATTTAAGTTTTAATTTAGTGATGAAAAGAGCAAAAAAGCCGATTAAATCCTGTTGCCTTGTTTCTGTAGGGGTCAGCTTGAAAGTGTGCATTTCTGCGTGCTTTCTGGATGTGATGTGTAGGTTATCTCTGGTCATTGCTGCCACGAGTAACAACCTGTAGGCACCTAGGTTGTGGGGCTCAATGGGAACCATGCTTTCATAAAGCTCAAGTGGAGAGGGGAGGAGCAGTGTATTTATGACAAGGTGGAATTTTTCTGCTCTGGGGATGTAGGAAGCTGTCTGCCTGAGAGGGAGGCTCAGTGAGTTGGTGGGTGGGTGGAGGCTTCTTTTGTCGAAGTTCAAGGAAGTTGGAGGGCTAGAATATTTGTTTTTACTTCTTTGTACTCATACTCACTCAGTCATGATAGGAAGCATTCGATCTTAAAATGTGGATCCAGGATTCTCTGCCTCATGATTCCACGAGCTGCCTGTTATAAATGCACATTTTGAGACTTCCTGGATCAGAATTTGAAGGATTGTGGCTCAGAAGTCTGCATTTTAAACAAGGATCCCAGGTGATTCTTCTGCCCACTGAAGTTTGAAAACCATTCTTATAGAACAATAAATAAACTCTCCAGCCTAAGAGGGCAGAAAATATCTGACCTTACTGATAACGTTGCTAACGTTGGCCTACTTCATAAAAAAATATATGTTAAAGATGAAGCAGTTGTCTGAACTCTTGGCTTCAGCCGAGGCTTCCACTCCCAGGATGTTAACCATCCTTATTGCTATAGTGAAAATGAGAACAGCCCATTACTTTCGTTGTCCTTTGCCTCTTTGACTCATTCAAGTAATTGGCATTGGCAAAATGGAAGCGAAAGCAGCAACTGTTCTTGAAGAGTTTCTTCAGTTTAACTAGAAAACATCGAGAATCTTTTGTGCTTTAGTCATTATGAATAAGAAATTAGAATGTAGTTAAATTTATAGAGATAAGCAGTTTTTTGCAAAATGAGTAAAAATCAGTATTTTCTCACCAGGGCTATATTGTGTAGCAATTGAATACTATGTGCAGCAAGTAGCTCATTTTGCAACATATTTATTTATGTTTTCTTTTTACAGGAAAAACTAACCCAAGAGTGTGTTTTCAGAGAACAGTTTGAAGAGAACTGGTATAATACATACTCATCGAATCTGTATAAGCACGTGGACACTGGAAGACGCTACTATGTTGCATTAAATAAAGATGGAACCCCAAGAGAAGGGACTAGGACTAAACGGCATCAAAAATTTACACATTTTTTACCTAGACCAGTGGACCCGGACAAAGTACCTGAACTATATAAGGATATTCTAAGCCAAAGTTGACAAAGACAATTTCTTCACTTGAGCCCTTAAAAAAGTAACCACTATAAAGGTTTCACACGGTGGGTTCTTATCGATTAGCTGTGTCATCACATCAGCTCCACTGTTGCCAAATTTGTCGCATGCATAATGTATGATGGAAGCTTGGATGGAACATGCTGATTTTGTTCTGCACTTAAAGTTCGGTCCTCCTGGAGGATTGCCTATGCCCACTTGCTTGATTTATTGTGAAAGGAGAAGAGAGAGAGGCTGAGAGAGAGGGAGTGTGAGTGCATGAGTGGATAGGGGGGTGGGCGGGAAATTGGAGAGAGAGGAGAAAGCAGAGAGGAAAACGGCCTGATGCATGCTGGGAAATAGACACGCTTTTACATTTTGATCAGTTGTACTTCATCCTATATCAGCATAGCTGTCTTACTTCGTCTCATCAGGATTTTGGCTGGTGGCCTGTGCAAGGGTACGCTGCATTTTCAAAGGCATGGAGGGAGCGGTCTTACTTAAAAGACTTTTTCAGTTAATTCTCACTGGTATTAGCCCAGTGAATTTAAAAGCAAAGACCTCTTAGTAATAAAAAAATAAAAAATTAAAAAAAAGAAAAGAAAAAAGTTAAATTTATTTATAGAAATTCCAAAGGCAACATTTTATTTATTTTATATATTTATTTATTATATAGAGTTTATTTTTAATGAAATATGTACAGGCCAGATAGGCATTTTGGAAGCTTTAGGCTCTGTAAGCATTAAATGGCAAAGTCTGCTATGAACCTGTGGTAAATTCATGCAAGTAAATATAATGGTGCATGGATATGAGAAATTTTAATGACCCTAAATGTACTAAAGGCGACAATCGACTTTGTGCCCATATTATTGTAAACGTATGCACATCACTCACGACACTGAGTATTCACTCTCCAGACTGCTTGTTTCATAGCTTACCCTAGAGGATTAAAGATAAACTGGGTCTCAAACTTTTATCCTGTGTCTGTAATATTTCCTCTCTCATAAGTGACTTATTCCATCATTGTAACTTCACGATTATGGAAAATATAAGGGTTGGTATATATCCTACTTGTTTAAATCTATCGCAGAATATACCAAAGCTAAACAATAACTATGCTTTTATTTTAGTGGATCTCCAGAACAAGAAGACTAACAGCAAACATCGTACTAATTTAGAATTCTCAAAAAAAGAAAAAACAAAAAAAGCTTACATAGCACAGATTTTTTTTTTTTTTTAAGGACTAAGAATCAGATTAACAGGATCATTCTTGTATACTTTTATTTGTGCACTTGGTTATCAGATATGAAATTATACAAGTACCATAGGGGTCATTGTAACACCTTTTATAGAAAATTGCTTTCAGTGTGAACTGTCATAATACATGGTAATAGCACCCTTAAGGTAAAACTTACAGAATGAAACTAATAAATCTTTATCAATAATGATAATGAGGGGGAAAGTATTATACTTGTTGACTGTGTTTATTTTTTTAAAATGGTCTTCACAAGCGTTCAGATTTTTTAGAGGGGAGGTTACTATATAGACTATCTTTTACAAGGCTTTTATAATGTTTTATGCTGAAAAGCATAAGAATATTATTTCTTTAGTAGCAATAATTTTGGAACTTGCCCTTGGGCAAGGGAGACTATTTCTTACTATATACTAAGGAGAAAAGAGCCAAATTCTTAAAGCAATATTTAAGAAAAAGGAATTTATAACAAATTCTCCTACCACATAGAACACTTTCTAGCCCGTTAGGCTGGGAAACTGAAAGTGACAGTTAAAGAATGTGTTGGGATTTATGTAACTAATTTTAGAATTTGATATTCCAACTTTGTTTTGCTCTGATGCACGTTCTCCATGAAAAATAAAAGTATGTCACTGGCAAGTTAAAGCTGTTATGAAAGAGAAGCACGTGACTTACTGTCATGAGCACATAGAACCTTCCATGGTCCAAAGTGGAGTGTGTCACAGTGCCCTCCTTCTGGTGGGCAAGGAGGAAAAACAACATCTAACATTTGGAATTAAGAAATATTTTGGGGGGAGGGGCCAGAAGCAATGTAAAATAGCTGATTTATGGTAAACGTCAGAATGTCCTCTTCATTTATTTTCTTGGGATTTTTTTATGTTCTAAACAGAAACCACGTTTAATTCCAACAAGTAGTATTCTTATTTATTATTTAACCCTTTGCTGCTGCTGAAATGTGCACAGATTCAGGCTTTAGTTTTTCCAAAAGGCATTTAATTATTGGGGGTGGGTGGGGGTGGGTGGAGAACATTAAACATCTGACCGCTGGGAAGAATCAAGTTTTTAGAATGTTATAGGTATGATACTTAGAACTGAAGAAATTGATTTCAGAAGACAGCTAAAAGGTAGTGTGAGAAAAAAAATTGTGACAAAGGCTAAAATATCCACGCATTCTTAGAAGATTGTCACTTTAATGTCTACATTTGGAGTTCATTTTGTTTTGGTACCTTTTTTTAAGAAAAGCAAAGTGTTATATACTTTTGGCAATTGATAACAATAAACTGTAATGGTCTGTAAATAAATAAATGCTGACTTATGCAATTTATGTAAGTAGATATTTTCTGGAGAGTAGATGGCTCAGGGTCCAGTGTGGGCATTGTCCTATGGGGCAGTTGAATGTGTCTTCCCCAGCGCTCATAGGTTTGCATCCAGTTCTTATCCTAAGAGACCCAAAACCTAGTGACGGCAGCCCTGAGCTACAGTTGAGCGAGTGGCTCTGGTAGTCACAGACCGATGCCCCCACAGCCAAACCATTATCTTGGTGGTGCCAGCACTTGCACCTCGGTCAGAGACTTACTGGGCACGACTGAACCACTCCTCTATCTGTCATGTGAGTGTCCCCAAGCAGTGTTGAAGGCCATGCTAGGTCAGTGCTGGGGACCCTGCCCTGCCAGGTCCTGCTCTGTAGATCAAACGAATGGCTTCAGTTTATGGTGTTTTCATTCTATTTCATCTCATTAACACTACAACATTGTGTTATTTACTTGATAATCTGTAATTGTATGTAAATACATACAGGATTATGTAATTTGTGTAAATACATAATTACAGACTTTTGAAAACTGGTATTTTTCACTTGATGTCCATTTTGGAGCTGCTTCAGATTATGTGCCTACGTGAACCAATGGAATTTTGAAAACATGTTCTCCTTGGTCTTATAGCTGTTGCGTGTGTGTTGAGGGGATGTGGGGGCAGGGGGAGATGGATGGAGGTGGGAGGAACAAACTCATCCAGATGTCTTTTACGTAAGCATTAGATGAAGAATCAAGTAATCTTCTGGGATGAAGATTTATGCATTTACAACCAGTAAAACGCTGTGTGTGTGCACATTTATGTGGATGGGTGGATGGACAAAGGGGTATTGTCTGAGGTCAAATTCTGTTTGCTGCCTCATTTGACCTTGAAATGTGCCAAATTCAGATCTGTCTGCTGTTCTTGGTCACTTGCATGAAAGTGTAATGAAATGGTGGGGGCAGGGGTCATGCCGGATGGATTCAAAAGATATATTAGCCACCAAGTCCTCTTGAGTGTGTGTGTGTGTGTGTGTGTGTATGTGTTATACATGTTATATAATACCCACATTTATCCATAGACATTTCACATTTCAGAATAGACATTTTATCATTAAAAGTTGAGCGGTGAGGAATTATAAGTTGCGCCTACCTCCTTCAGTATACAGCCCAGCATTTAGGAATTCAGTTTTGTACAATGGACTCTGACAACAAAAGGTTTGGTTGTAAATGTGTGAATGGTGGCTCATGAGTGAGAGTTCTACCTTTCATTTTCAGCATCTCTGGCTGCCCTTAGGTCTTCAGGAGACATTTTGATGTAACCTTTCCTTGACCAAGGAAGAACACGCAGAGATAAAGAACAGACTCTCTCTCTATATTTCTTTGGACAGAAAGTGAACAATGATCCCGACGTGTAGTCTTCTTGCTTCTGCGACAGCTGTGGCTGACTCTGGCTTTAACGTTAGGCAGTCATTGTGAAGGTCATGAGGGAAGCAAGGAAAACCCCGCAAGAGAAGCCTCTTTCCTGTTTTGGTTAATAGTAAATGATAAAACTCTTACCTAGATTTTTTGTTATTCTCCAACTATTTTCCAGCTCACATCTCAGAAAACACTTTAAAATTTAATTTTTATTTAAAATATTTGTAGGTCTACCAGCTATCTCAATAGCCCTTTGCAAGATATGTTTGTACTGGCTCTTCCTTTTCTTTTTTCCTGTCCACTTCTGAAAGTCCTTTTAATTATTTTTGTGGTTTATTTATGATTTCCATTGCTATTAGTGGAGTTAGCCAGGAAAATTTGATGGTGGGAACTAAGGAATTAAGAGAAAAAGTTGTGTAATGAGAACATTCAGAGATGAACAAATGGTTCTGCCCTCAGTACACAGGGGAAGGGCAGGCATTATTGACAAGATTTATGGCCCAGTTTGGAAAAACTTATTTTTAAAAACTCTAATGCCATCTTTTTTATAACCCCTTTGTGGGATGTTACAAAACATTCTGTAAGCTCCACCTGCCTATTGCCTCTGGCTTCTAGTGTATGCATATGTACAGGGCTGGTAAATGACTGCTTTGTGAGATTTCTACTCTGGAGTACCTGGGTGGTGCAAACGGTTAATGCACTTGGTTGCTAACTGAAAGGTTGGAGGTTCGAGTCCCCATCAGAGGTGCCTCTGAAGAAAAGCCTGGTGATCTACTCGAAAATCAGCCATTGAAAACCCCATGGTGCTCTTTCAGAGGGAAGCAGTACTCCAAACTTCTCTTTAATCTATATTTGTTGACCAGTCTCTCCCTCCTCCTTCCCATTTTTCTTTCATCACTTCCTTCCCTTCTTTCTTCATATTATTATGTGGGGCTGGCATCAGTGGTAAAGAAGGCATAGTTACTGAGGGCACACAGAGCTTAAACACACAGGCATCATAGTATCTGTGATGAACACTGAGATAGGGAAGATGCTGGGGGCTGCAAGCATAAGGTGCACCCAACTCAGGCCCAAGTTAGAGAGTTATATTCTGAAATGCAAAGGATGAGTAGAGGCTACAGAAGAAAGAACTGCATACTCACTGGCATTCTAAATGTGTTGAGAAAGTGCATTGTACTTTCTGAATTTGGGCCTACCATATCTTCCACCAAGTTGTCCCAATGCCCATGGCAGAGCCTGAGGATTAGGGTGCTTGTTGACTGTTGGATAAGCATTGGT